CACCTGGCTGAGCTGGGCATCAATGGAGTCCAGGACATGGTCACAGTGTTCTTTTGCCCAGGAGCCCACAAACCCACGCTGCTTCTCTGCATCTGGAAGAAAAAATAAAACAGAGCCAGCCCGTGGCATCACAGATCCTTAACCCTTGGAGGGTCTGCAGCCTTCCTTGCATGAGGAGCTGCGGGCACCAAGTGGGGGCCACCTCTGGGCTAGGGCTGCTGCTCTCGGCAAGCTGCCAGGCTTCACTTCAGCACAAAACTTGCATTGGGGGCCTCTCCTCATGAGGTCGAGGTCAGCGTGTGCACACGTAGGAGGTGCTTGAGCCATAGGAACCTCCAGCAAGCAGAGGCACCGCTGGGCGCTGGCAGCCTGGTGTGACCCTCCTGGCCCAAAGCTGAGCAGGGAGGTTGCTCCAAAGCCTGTAGGAGCCCTTGGGTCCGGGCTCAGAGCGGAGCACGGTCCCCCTTGCCCTTCCCTTGCCCCGCAGACAGGAGCTGCCCCTCCAGGGTCCACCTCACCTTCAGACCTGCCCAGCACATTGACTGCAGCGCAGGCAGGCCCTGAGGGACACGGAGGGCTGAGGGCCCCGGGCTCTGAGCCAYGGCTCTGGGCAGGCCGAGCATCGCATGTGACCCTTACCGTGTGTGGGACCCTTACCATGTGGGACCCTTATCACGTGTGTGACCCCTCCCGCACGTGTGACCCTTACCGCACRCATGACCCTTACCGCGTGCCGCCGGTCGCTCGCTGTGGCCGCCGCGCGCAGCCTCCTGCCGCTCCACGTCTGCCATGTGGCGGAGGCTCCGGCGCCGGCTGCCCCAGGCACCCGGTGCTGCCCCAGGCACCCAGCGCTGCCCCGGCCCCGGTGCAGCCCACGCTCACCTGGSTGCCCGCAGCCCGCACAGGCCGCGCTGCCCGCGTCCGTCACCAGGAGACGCCTGGCGGCCCCGGCATGTCCCGGCCTGCCCGGCCTGCCCAGCCACCGCCACAGCCCCTGGCAGCCTCCCCTGCTCCACCACCACCCAGCCACCGCCATGTCCCCTGCCAGCCTCCCCTGCTCCACCACCACCACCCAGCCCTCTCCATGACCACCCTGGCACAGGAACCTGCCCAGGACACCCCACCCCGCACAACCTCTCCCACCCCTCCTCCTCCAGAGGCTTCCTCTGGACAACGTCCTCCCCAAGCCTCCCTCCCCAGGCAACCCTCCTCTGTCTTACCCTGGGTCACTTCCTCACCTGGAAAACCTCTTTTTCCTAAATAACTTCCCCTGGGCCATCTCCTCCCTTGGCTATCTCTTTGCCTGGACCACCTCCTCCTGCCCCTCTTACTCCTGTAGGCCACCTCTCCTTGTCATCTCCCCTGCCTTCCCTCGGCCCTCTGTCCTCCTTAGGCCACCTCTCCTGGACCTCCTCTTCCTTCTGCCTTCCTTCTGTCTACGGCCATCTCCCAGCTCCTCTTCCCACTGCTGTTCCCAAGGATCTCACCTCCACCCACCAGGCTCTGTGTGTGCCGGGAGCTTGCACGACTCCGGGTTCATCCCTGCCTCGCCAGCTGCAGCTCCATGGACCAAGTGAGAACGACAGCACTGCACATTTTAAAACTCCCGAATCCAAGTTTTATTACTGTGTCAGAGAAGAGGAATCACTCACAAGATATTGTTCAAAAGAAATACATTCAACAGCATTTACAGTAGAATGACATTAAAATCCTCTGGAGGGAAAATAGAAAGACCAGGAGATGGTGCTCAGATTAAGTGTTGCCACTAAATGACCTCTGGAAGATACAACAGGTTTTTTTAAAATTAATCTAAAAAATGTGGGATTTCTTTTCTGGGGGTGTTCCAAGCACTCCCCTGGGCTCTGCTAAGCTGTGCAGTGTTTGTGATGGTGACTCTGGATGGATGCATTTACTGGAGGTAAATCCAAAAGGGCTTCTCAGCACCTCTGAATGTGGCAGGGCTGGGCACTGAGGKGCCAACCCTTCCTGAGCAACATTTCACTCCGCTTCTTCCTCAGCTGCAGGAACACAGGTATCCCCACGAAGGGACAGCCAGTGCAGGCATCTCCCACCTTTGCAAGCTCTTGGGATAATGCTTGTATTGACAAAATAAACAGGGAAAATAAGGCATTTTGAAAAGCTAGGCTGCCAGTCCATTTTATAAAACCGAATCAGACCTGGCCTGAATTCCAGGTGGAGAAGAACCTCTTCCACCTCTTCTGCTTCGGGCAGGAGAACTCTACACTTGATTTGGCGTAACAAACTAGAGTAGCATTAATGGAAGGGTTAGTGCAGAGCATCTSCCGTTGTCCCAGTTATGGGAACGGGGGCCTCCAAACGAGAAGATCTAAATGCCTTGGAGATGGGACATGACACAGCTCTCTCAGCAGGCTGGATCTCATCCGCTGAAAGCCATTAATGGAGCAATTTGGAAAACTTAAACACTTCACTGGCTTTCCTGAGCCACAGGCAAACCACAGGGAGAGGAGTGCTTAGAAAGGGTGATTTAGCCAGGCCCAACTGCCTACACCACCTGGCTCAGCATTTCAGAGACCCAGGGTGAGAGTCCCGAGCCTGCTGTCTACTGAGAGACCAAATTTCTAGGTGGGAATGATTCTTTTTCAAGAGAACACCTTATKTAGATGACCGCATGTGGCTCTGGAGCAAAATGTTACTTTTCTACTTAAGCAGTTACTCATTCACCATTACCGCTACATCCCTACCTCCGGGACGAGCCTAAGGAAATATATCGTACTCACACTACAAAAACTCAGACAGATGCTTCTGTCTTCATTATTTTTTTCATCTATTATGGACCATATAAATTTAAGCAAAATAATTTTATATATATTTTTATATATATATRTAAATTAGAAGCAAATAAATAAGATTAAAGGGTACATTGAAACCAGTGGGTATTGCCACTCCAATAGCCACTCACTACTGTTACATCATACGAGGTCTATATATACTGTACACATAGGTATGCTGTAAATAGCAGGTGCTGTAATGGAGGTGCTGTACGAGAAGGTGACCAAAAGGAGACTGATGGTTTAGGAACCTGATTGCATAAATGTCCCATGTGCAGCCTGGGTTTTCCAGTTACCATTGCCTCTAAGTTCATTATTGCTAATTATCTTCCAATGTGAATGTGACAGTCCAGCTTCAAGGGGCCTCTGACCCACGAGAGGGAGCAGTCAGTATGATATGATGTGGATCCAGAGAAGAAGACATCAACAATGAAATCCAGGGAGGCAAACAGAAGTGTCCAGGTCTCCTTGATGCTCTCTGACTCAGCAGGACTTRCCGTGCCTGTGATCTTCTGGGTCCTGCCACCTGCCTCCCTCCACTTCTGGATTTAGGGACCAGCTATTCCTGTGTGAATGCCATGTGTCCAAGAATCACTCACTCCTGCTCCTCACTGATCACTTGCAGGGCTTGTTCAGCTCTTCCTGGGGGGAATGGCAGATGTGGGACTTCCTCATCCATGTTCTCAAGCTGCTGCCAAGCAGCACTCATGAGAAGGCAAGGATAGAGGCAGGAGAGAGGCTCCTGGGCAGTCCGTGGTTCTTCCAGATGGTTACTGAGCTGAGTTCAGTCTGGCGTTTTCTCCTGAGACAGCCCCAGGGCTCTGAGGTGTTGGGAAGATTCCCCAAGAAAATGGGAACAGCAGAGGCACAGGGTYTGCTGTGCGGATCTCCCACTGCTCCAAGGAGGAAGCAAAGCCTCTGCCTGCAGCATCCAGGGCTCCAGGGTGAGAGGGATAATCTAGACTCAAAAACTCCTCCTTGCAGAGATATTACCATGGGGAAGAGAACTATCACACCCAGGGGAGGCTCAGAGCCTGGCCTTGCTGGCACCAGGCAGCAGAAGCCTTCCAGGAACTGGCCCTCAGCCCTGGAGTCTGTCACCAGGCGTGTCTGGGGACTAACGCACTGGAGAAGTCATCAAGATGTGAGTATAGACCCAGGACAAGGGGTTCCTGCCACAGAGCCACTGGCACCCACGCCTGTGCCAGCAACATGTGCAAGAACCCGCCAGCAGGCAGGCTGCCCCTTCCCACACCAGCTCTGCAGGAGATCCCTCTGCCCAAGCAAGCAGTGCCACCTTCTCCCTGCTTCTCACACCTCTCCCTCAGGATTTCCCTGCTGCCTGGTGTCAGCCACATCCCAACAGGGAAAGTGTCTGGCAAGTCCCTGCAGGAAGCTCCAGCCTTCTGCAGCCCCGGGCCCCGCTGCGGAGACGTGGGGCAGAGAGCGCTGGTATGGAGGCTCCAGTGTCACGGAGTGGATGCTGGTCTACAAGTTGCTCTCTGCTCTGTGCTCAAACATCTCCTCTGACCTCGCCAACGTAAGCTCGGTATCCCCTYGGCAAAACATTTTCCCGACCTAAACAAGAAGCTGTTTCCCCTTAGGATGCAGCTGCAGGAAAACCAAACCAAGCATGACCCCAATCACCCTTGCAAAGCATCGTGTTAACCTTAACCTTAACACCGTCGACTGATGGGAAACTGCTCAGTGTGCTTCTTGTTTTAAAAAAAGAGGGAAAAGAAAAAAGAAAAAAAAAAAAGAAAAAGGTCACCAGCTGAAAGGTCTTGATTGGTATTGCTGGGATCACAGGGCACGGCGGGACCTACTGAGAGGATCCAGGAGCAAGTGCCTCAGCCACAGTCCCTGGAGGCAGTTTTCTGAGCAGGGCTCAGAGAGTTGCTTGTGTCTTCAAAGGGACCTGAACCAGGAGCAGATTAAAAAAAAAAATCCATAAAGTCCACACACAAATGGTGAAAATAAAAATGTCAAAGGAAGAGCTCACACAAATGTACGGCATCCCCACAAAGCGAGCATCTTTGGAAGTCAACGTCTCAGCCAATAAAGCTGAGGCGCTGAGAGATATAGGCAGCAACTCCTGATAGCAATAAATAYGTCAGGCTAAAAATCAACCAGATTCATTGTGTCTTCATTCCTAATTAGTAGCTGAAAAAAACACCATTAAAAAAAAAAAAAAAGAAAGAAAAAAGAATGCTATTTATTAGTGCGTAAAAAAATAGGTTTGGAATCCCTGTTTAGATTTTCTCTTCAAAATTCTGTATGTACTGAGTCTCTGTATGTGTTTCTTTGCACTGTTACCTGACAGCAGGATGCTGCCAGCATGTCCTCATTGTCCCTCTGTCTATCCTGGTGAAGAGAGAAGCCTGGGGCTGGCCCCAGAGTGAGCAGAGCAGCTCAGAAGATGTCAGGGCACATACTCCAGTCCTGCTTGTCCTTGGCCTCCCAATATCCACCTTTGTAAACACAGATCAGCTCCCCCGTCATGGGATCCACCTTCCGCTCAAACCACAGTGGGATGTAGCCTTCATAGTCCTTGCCTGTGGAAGCAGAAAACTCAGGGTTAGGGGTGGTTTTACCTCTGCCATAACATTCTGCATAACTTCACCAGGGCCCCAAGCGATGCCATGCTCAGGGCATGGATCAGTGAAGGGTCTCTCCTCCATCCCAACGCTGAAGCCCTTTCAGCTTACCCAGTTCACTTGCTTTACCCTCAGCATGACAGCAATGGGCCCTGGGATCTTGATGCAGCTCTGATTATCCCGCCAACAGCCCAGAGCATCTCACCTTCCTCCAGGGCTTCCACAGCCTCAGCCTCCCGCCTCCGGCGCACGGCTCTCTGCTTCTCCTCGAGACGCTGCTTCTCCACGTTGGCCTCATCCCACCGGCCGCTCTCCATGAGCCGCTGGTCGGGTCTCAGCCGGCTGTCCGTGGGGGCCACTCTGTCCTCAGGCTCATTCAGGGTGAGGGCCAGGTCAGAGAAGAAATACATGTTCTCAGCGTTCTCCCTGGAACCACAGAGCCCAGATGAGGATATCAGAGACAGTGCTTACCTGAGCTGGAGCTCCCCCTTCATTCAAGTACTTGTCTCACATCCTAATCCTGTCAAAATTGCTTCTGCGAGTATTCTGGTCCCCTAAAACACATCCAGAAGGCCCTTTGGGGAGTCCTGTCTCCMACTACCTTATTGGAGATGCCAGCAATGCCTCTCCTGGACTAATCCTGCCACATGGCCTCCTCAGGGAGCACAGACACATAGTCCACGTGAAGAAGCTAAAAGCTGATGAGCTGACTATGGTGCCACGCGGCTAAAAATTAAAATAGCTTAATCCAAAAGATCTGTGATTGAAGGACAGGGTAGCTGAGTCCCGGAGGCCACACATAACGCTGGTGGCACCATGTGGAGATGCTTTCAACAGAGCACCTTCAGATCCAACTCAGGGACTGGTTGTCAGAGCTACCAGTGGTTGAAGGTGGTTTGGTGTTTGGTTTCTGGATGAAGCATCCAGGCAATGGGAACTAGCTGGAGTGCAGGACAGGAGCAGAGCAGCCCAGAACTACCAGTGCCCCTAACACAAAAAAGATCTGATTGAATTCTGATTGAATCCACTGGGGATGGGGGAGCTGTCATGATGTTTGTTTCTCTGGATTGGAGCTTTGGAGAGTTGTCTGCTCCCATGTTCTGACGTGCTACTTTGAATTTAACAAAGCCCAACACACCAAACCTAAGCTGGGTTGGGTGGGAGCAAGGCTGGATGAGGAAGGATGTGAGCAATCTGMTGAGATCAGGAATGTCAAGAGAGGGTTGGTCCCCAGGTTGGCTCAAGCAACCAGTGCAAAAGGATGGCCAACGAGTAGCCAGCAAAGCAAAGCAGCCAATGCATCTTCATCCCACGGTAGTGTCAGCAGCCAAGARAACCAAAACTCAAACCTACCCTGAGTCTCTGGTTACCCAAGTTAAAAGCCATGCGCAAAAGCCTCCCCAAGTTAAGGAGGACAGTAAGGAGTCAGAGCTGGTTCCAGTGCATTTGAACTGCTTGGCCATGGGCACCTCAACAGTGGCTTCACTGCCAGTCCRCAGTCAAACACCAAGCAAGTGAGGCCAAATCTAAAGTGCAGGGCCAAGCCCTGTCAATACGGTGAAGGTTTCTTTGTTCTGCAAAGCAGCACCCTGGTAGCTCAGTGGAGCACTTCTCCAGCTGTGCTTGTACTCACCTTCCCTCACAGAGACCACGCAATCTGCTCTCCTATCCTGGCACATGCTCAWAACCCAGAAAAAGCCAGACAGTCACCTAAATTCCACTCCCTTTCCACTGTTCCCAGGCCTCCAACAGAGCTGCCTTGCCAATAATCCCTTCCAGAGCCCTTCTCTCCCTTGGGATTGTCTGCACGTTACAGAACGATACCCTTACCCCGGCTCGTTTTGCCCATTGCTGTAACACGAGGGCACAGTTTAACAAGAGGAGCTCTGCAGCCCAGGCCCCACCACCCCACTTACGGAAGCGGGTATTTCTTCCACAGGAYCTTTGGAGACAGGGTCTGGTAGACCGTTTTCTGCTTGCCCTCTGAGCTGGTGCTGCCGTGGCTGCTCTGCACTATCTTGGAGCACTCCATCTTCTCATCCCATGTGCCAGACATGACGTAGTGGGCCTTACCATCAGCATCGGTCACCACTCCTGTCACCTGGCAGAAGGACAGGTGAAATTGCAGAGATGACTCTGGTGGCATTTGAAAGTCCCCATGGGGCAAGGAGACGGGCAGGGAGTCACAACACCCTCTGGGCAGCTCAAAGTAGCTGGACCCGGTCATTCAAGCAGAGCTGTAGCATCCTTGTACATTAGGAGCGAGATCAGCTGCCCTCAGCACAAGGAGAGCAAACCCCAYCCTGACGCAGCCCCTGCAGCTGGGTCTCCAACCCAACCCTTCCCAGGGCTCAAACACGGTCACTTGGCTAGTGCTGCAGTTCCGATCCAGAGCCAGAAGAGCCCAAACACAGGCTTGGGTGGACACGGTCTGGGTTCCCTCCCAGGCCCTGCTGGTGACCTCCCTCAGACAGACCTCCCACCTATGCTGGGTTCATCCTGCCATGCTAAGCCCCCACAAGCTCTGGCCTCGCTCAGAGAGAAGAGCCAGGCCTCGCCACGTGCAAGGCTGCTAGAACGAGCGGGGATATTTGGGGACACGTACCTTTCGGGGGACATCTCTGGAGAAGTAGCTGTAGGGGGTAAATTTCAGCTGGCATTTATCTTTTGACTTATGGTTAACAATCTCTATTTCACCAGACTAGATAAAAGACACAGAATCACAGGCAGTGAGAGACTTTGCAAGGAGACAAATGAGGCATTAGTTGTAGTTTGTGCAGATACAAATGAACACGAGCTGCAGCACTGCTTCTCTTCCCGACTCCAGGGGCTGGAGTAGTGTCATTGTGGACAGTGCCGTGGAAGGAGAGGGGACGCTGGCTGCTCCTGCCAGCCCCCATGGCTCCCCACGAGCCGCCTGCCCTGTTGGCAGGAGCAAAACCTGTCATGCATCAGATCTGGCCATGTATGGCCAGTTACACCACCCTGCTCCGTGGAGCTGCTGGCTTCAGAAGAGCCATCAGAAGCACTGAAAGCATTCCCACCACCTCGTTAGGGAAATACATCTTCCTATCATGGCAGAAACACTGCCTGGAAGTCAGGCAGGAAGGAAATGTCCTTCTAGTCCCTCTGCCCTTGTCCTGGAGCCAGGCAAGACCCAGACAGGGACCCCCAGCCACTAACCTGGTCAATCCAGAGCTTGCCCACGATGATGTTGTGGACGGTGGAGGTGACTTTCCTCCAGACGTAGTGGTTCCCGCTGGAGTGGAACTCGAGGTGGATGGCGCCTGCGGAGAGGGAAAACGCAGCGCTCAGCGTGGGAGGCAGGAGGGTGGCGCAGCTCCCCGGGGCACAGCGACACCACAGCACTGCCCTCGCCCACAGAGCCAGCCTGGGCCCCCACCTGCATCCCCATTGCCCAAACCTCCTCTCCACAGCTGTGAAGCAGCAGGAGGTTTCATGTCTTTGGGCTTGGTTTCTGCTCAGTGTTGCAAAACATGGCCTGCCCAGCAGGCATTTTAAAAGCAGGTTAGAAACTTGCTGCTTGGTTGACTGTTTAGTGCTATAAGACAGGTGAGGCACCCTCAGCGCCAGCATAGCTCTGGCATGGGTAGGACTAYTTATGACCAGCAGCATGAAGATCTGCTTGGGATGGAAAACAGCCTTTCTGGTGTGATGCTCTGCCTGCTTCTTATTACTTGGAATTCCCTCCCTGATGAAGGGAAAGAGACTGAGATGCTCTGGACAGCCCAGGCAGGGCCTCAGTTGCATGTGTGCTCACGGGATCAGCACGTGGGGATGCCCTYGTGAGCACTGCACAAGCAGGCCCAGCCAAAGCAAGCCCTCAAGTCACCTACCCAGTGGCATGATAGAGAGGTATTTGCCCCTGAATTTGCTGGCGATCGTGATTTCTTGCCACAACGTCCAGCCTCGCTTGGAATACACGTGATGGGCAGCGGCTGGGGGATGGTGGCTCACCTGGAAGAGAGAAGAAACAGCCTGTCAGGTCACACCAYCTCCAATCAGAGAGCAAGAGGCAGGAGCAGAGAGTCCCCCCAAGGCTTTCAGAGCATCAGCCCAAGGAGATGCTGGCTACAGGCCGGCTTTGGCCAGAGGATGCCATGAATCCTGACCACCCAAAGAAGACTACCTTAAGTCATATGGAAACACCACACCAAGCTCTCAGTCATGACTGGATGTCTCCAATGCCAGAGGAGCCACTAGCGTTACCATGGAACAAAGATCACCTTCTCCATCAGAAGGACCTCCCATGAAGTAGATTGGCTGCATATGCAGGTGCAGAAAATTACTGGCAGGTTTTTCCAAGGCTCATTATCAAAGCATCAGCTATAAAAAACCCTCAAATTCAGCAACTTTCTATCAGTGTGACAGTGCTGGACTGTGACCCCTGGAACAAGGCCCCACTCTCCAAGGATCTTGTTGAGGAAACAGGCAGGTGCTGAAACCTAGCCCAGATCCCTGGTGTAGCAGCATCTCTCCTGCCCACAGCAGCTCCCATTGCTTCTGCATGGAAAACCCCAGTGGGGCCACAGCTCCCCACATCTCCTGAGAAACACAGACCTGCCCAGCCAAGACTTTGCCCTCACGCCCACCAGCAAACCCATTGCAGCCAAGGCAGGGGATGCAAACACAGCTCTGCAGCACAACCTTCCTGACAGCTCTGGGGACCCTGCTCAAGTAGTGGCTCCGTGATGACCTGTAAGTGGACAGGGCTTGTCCTGCCCTGCCCTGGAGACAGTCACATTGGGAGAAGAACACAGGGCAGCCCCACAAACACTACACGAGATGCCAGACACTGCAGCCTGGCTCCGAAGAGCTCAAGGAGACAAGGGGGATGAGGGCAGCCCGCTTTGCAGCTGGGCTCCCTTTGCCCTTCCCAAAAGCACCAGTCCAACCCGCACAGCACGCTGGCGCCTTCACTTGCAGGAACCTCCAGACCCAGCAGCTGCGGTACTGTGTTAAGAGATGATTTGCACCAATGTAATTACAGCCTAAGTGCCTTGAGCAACTGGATTACAAACGTGAGCAGAACAAAAACCTCTCTGCTAAATCCCACTGTAACCAGCAGGGGAAAATCCTATTTGGGTAACTGGATTTCATTCACAAGATTATCAATACTTTGCTCAGCGTGTCCGAGGGCTGAGCAGCAGAGAGGCATGCCAAGGAAAATTAAGAGCACTAGAAACAACGTCCATCTGGCTCCACGGCCCCAGGCCCGGGAGCAGGACGCAGTGCAGCCCGTACTGAGGGTGGTGCTCGGCCAAGACTGCCCATAGCAAGAGGAACTGCCAACCCTGTGTAGGTGCAAACTCATGCAGTCTCTGAATTTGCCCTTTGAGATGTGTCCAGAGAGGGGATTTAAGGACTCAGCTTATGGATCAAAGGCTCCTGAGAGCTGTAACAGAACAGTTTCACCCCCGGTTGTATCAAACCTCAGTTTATGATGAGCTTTTTCTACACGTTTGTGGGAAAGGAATAGGATGGAGAAGGGAATTACGAGCTCCAAGGGCTGCTATATGAAAGCAATCAAAATCCACCTGTCCCCAAGGTGGCCAGAGCAGGAACACCAGAGGGGACTGAATTTTCCATTTTAATGTGTGCTTTGCACAAGGACCAACTCCACTCCTGCAATGATGAGGCTGATGGGTACAGAGAACCAGAGCTCATCATCCTGCCCTGGCCCTCAGAATGGATTTGGGTAGGAAAAGAGTGTCTTGAAACCGCACAACCTGGGGTCCACCAGTGACAACAAGGGCCCTGGGGAGCATCTGAGACCAAAACGTGTGTGCTAGTGATGAAAGAAGCATGGAAAAAGAGCTGGGAAAGGGCTGGAGATGTTATGTGATATGTGATTCACATATGTGACATGTGAACAATACTATGGGGGTGTCCTGCAGTTTCCTCACCACAGCCCGATGAGGACAGTAACTCCAAGCTGTTGTTATGCCCATGTCACACATGTGAAACCTGCTTCGGAGGCCAGGAAGACCAGGCTACAGGCCGTTTTCCCTGCCTCTTTTCCCTGTATTGAGCATCCTGGCACCATCATCTTGGCGCCCATCCCATAACTCAGCACCTAAACGCAACTTCCGAACACCGCGTTGTGCAGGGTCACAGCCCAGGGACAGGTGGCATTAAGGAGGTATTCAAGAATGTACAAAGCCAGAGAAGAAGCCACAGAAAACATGTCATCATTCGCCTCCTGATTGCTTTGGCTTTTTGCCCCACAGCCTGGAAAGCTGACTCCTCTCTCGATTTTGAGTTATTTAGATATCAGTCATTCATCTGCACTTCAATGTGACAGCAGAGGACACACATAGCTGTAGTCCATAACGCTCTGGTCAGCAGTGTCCTGGCTTGCTGCAGTGCCTGGCATGAGCTCCAGTGCCTGAGACAGGCCACATGGACATCACTGAGCATGGCAAGAGCGCTAAGCTGGCTGCACGCAGAGCTGGCCCAGGCTGACATGCAGCTTTGGATGGCACGAAGGGACAGCAGAGGCATGAAAGCATGAAATGTGGAGAATATCTACTAAAACACCTTTACTTTTGTCACTGCCATGTGGCCACATTTCCAGGAGAGCCTGCTCGCTCCTGGGCACGGCCCATGGCTTGTTCCTGTACCGGAGCTTTGCCTGCACCTACACATTGTGCTGGGGGCTGACGGCAGAGGGCAAACCCTGCTGCAGCTGCGGCCCCACACCGGCCTGGGAAGGTCTGGGACGTGGCCAAGGCGGGTGACGGGATGTCACTGTGCAGGGATGGCAGCCGTGGGCTGCATGCAGGGGAGGAGACGGGAGCAGTGCAGACACACAGGGCACTCTGCAGAGGTTGGGAAGCATGGAGCTCATCCCAGCCGCCTCCAGAAAACACCACACAGTCCAAAACAGCTGGAAGTGGATCCAAAATGCGGAGCTCTCGGAGGAGTGCAGCAGCCGGGGGGAAGACCCAGCATCTCCTGCTTGGAACCCCATGGGACGGGGAGCTCGGCACGGCTGGCAGGTATCTCGATTCAACTCCAGGCATCCTAGTGGCACCTGAGTACATGCACTGTGGCAAGGCTCAGCACAAGAGACTTAGACCAAATGCTGCAAGGGACAACCTGAGGAAAAAACACACTGCAGGCACCAGAGCATGGGAGATTGGGACCAGAGGGAGACACGCACCCCCACTGGCCTCACTGCTGCCTTGGCAGTCCTGCAATCTCAGCTGCAGTCTCTCACCCTCCACGAGGCTCAACATGTTCATCCCGCTGCTTACTGGCACTACCATCATGTGGGAGATCAGGGAGGACAAGCTCTGTCTAGCACAACTGGGCAGGAGAGCCTCAAATTCCTCCTGAGCAGAAAGCAGAGACAAACAAAGCAATGTCAGGGGAGCACGGAGGCGCTTGGACTTCTTCACTGCCTAGTCTTGTCTGGCCTGTCTGCACATCTGGCCACATCGTTAGCGCAGCCCAGCACAGCACATTTGGATTAGCAACAAAACCCTTTTTCCCCTAAGGAGCTCCATCTTCATGGTGCTCTGCCAGGGTACATCTTCCCTTTCCAATCAGAAATGCCCTCTGGCATTTTGGGCCAAGTCACCACAGGCAATGACACCTGGCACTCACCTCCTTATGTCCTTGGTGGATCATACAGGACACTCACTTCTCCTTGCTAGGGACTCTAAGCAAAGCTAAGTCACATTGCATTCATGGGGAGTGCTCTACAGCACAGGAGACCAACGCAAGCAAGGTGCTCCATCTCCAAAGCCAAAGGGGACCTGGTAGAGGGAGGCCCCAGCACCTGGAAGACGTAGCTTTCAGAGCACTGTCCCTAGCTCTGCAACAGCCAGCTCAGCAGAAATGTTGCTCGTTCCCAACAGCYGGGTCTGGGGAGCAGCTGGGACACCCTGGAATGGCAGGGGGCACCCGGCTCCCATCGAGARGTTGCTGGCCCCAGCTCCTGAGCACAGCTCAGGCCATCAGCTTGTCAGCTCAGAGCAGGCTGGCCTGGAAAAAGCAGCTCCAGGTATGCAAGGCACTGGGGCAGAACCACTCTCTTTCCCCCTTTCCTAGTCCCTGTTGTTCCGGTCTCAAAAGATCCTCCAGTTCCTCCAACCTCTTCTGCAGGCCTGGGCTATCACCCAACACTTGGCCAGTACTGTTCTCCATTTCCCTGCATTTTCCTCCCTTCTACTTTGGGCTCGCATTGGGCTCGGCATAGGTACCAGGCTGTGACAGAGCACGGCCTTGCCAAGCAGCTCCAGCTGGGCCTCAGCACGCCCCAGGCTGCGTGATGAAGGCATTTCTCACCTACTTTGACACTGAAGAATACCACTTGAAATCCGAAAGGAAACAACCTGGGCAGATTCCCATACTGTGAATCAATGAAGTGCAGCCCTGACTCACAGATCTTGCCCCGTGGGTCTCAGAGGGAGCTTTCTGCCTCTGCAGGTCTTGGACCTCTATCGGCCTTTGCAGAGGGATAGAGACTGGTGGTTTTGTCTGAAGTTTCTGAACTTGCCAAGTTGTGATACTCGCTCTGCTCCAGGGCTCCCAGCCCCAAGACAGCATGGAGATGACCCGGAGAACACGGACACCCCTACCAACGTTGTGTCCTGCCTGCCACATCCAGCAAAGGGTTACTGATGGCCCAGGAAGGCAGGATGGACCAGGCAATCGTGCTAAATGTTAACTTGTCAAGAATCAAATTTCTTCACAGGTGTCAACTGATTAAGCACTCCAGGTTTTTAATTAAGACCTGATGTTTGACTGATGCGTGTCAGATGAGCTCTGTGGTTAGAGCATGAGGATGCTAGAGATGCTCACGTTGTCCTCAAGCTCTGAAAGCAAAATCTTTTCAAGGCAACGTGGAAGAAGTAACACTTCAAGTCATGTGGCAGCCTGAAGAGATGCTGGGAGCAGGGAGGAACTGTGCAGCCACCACTCGCTGCTAGGAGGAAGCTCAAATAAGGAGTTTCTCCTTTCCACTCGAGCATTAAGGTTGTAGAGAAACCCCAGCCTCAGACCCAGCGGCCTAGAGACCTGATAGCATGAGAGGGCCTCTCTCCTTCCCATTTCCCCACGTCTCATGCTCTGTGACACTGGAGGACATGGCTCAGGTACCCACCACTCCTTCTGTCAATGCCAACAGCAAACTACTTGCTGTACTGGCCTTGCTCAGTGCGAGGAGACAGCCGTTCTTCAGGAAAGGGCTGCCCGGGGAAGACATGAAGAGTGGGACAGTGCTCCTGCCACCTGGCAGACGTCATCCTCATGCCTGCAGATTACAACTTACCTGCTCGCACAGGGACCGAAAGCCAAACTCGTCCAGCCGGTCAAGCTCGTAGGTTTCCCCCAGCAACGGGTTGAATGGCTTTGCCGTGCGGTGGACAGTCGTCGAGTAGGAAGACACGGAAAACGCAGCAACGAAGCACATCTGCTCCGTGGAGCTCTCGCACTTGACAGCTTTGTCCAACAGCTCGTGGTACTCCAGGTCCTCGGAGAGCCGCTGCAGCATGGAGAGCGGCTCGTTGAAGTTTACCTGGYGAGGTGAGAGGAGCGAGGTCAGGTGCAGGGCTACGCCAAGCAGGACCTGCTAGAGCACATCTCCTTCCAAAGCCCGCTGCGGGAGAGGCGGCGGGAGAGCAGGGCCCCGCTCTGCCACGGCAGCTCCCAGCACACGCGCTGCCTCGACGGCTTCATCTGCACAGCATTAACCAAGGACRAGCAACTCGTGCTCTGCCGCGCTCCCTGAACCGTGCCGCGAGCTGCCCAGCTGGGCTGAGCCGGGAACAGCCGGAGCCGGGAGCTGGCGGCCCCGGGAGCGCGGCAGATAACGTCAGCGGTCACGCGCGCCGGCACGCTCCGCTCCGAGCTGCAGCGGCAGCRCCGGCTCCCAGCGCGAGGCTCGGCAGCCAGCGCGGCCCCTCCTGCCCGCCGGAGCAGCCGTGGGCCCGCAGCTCCGGGACGCTCTGGCTCCGCTCAGAGCAGCGCCCGTGTTCCTCCTTCTGTGGAGCCCTCCAGCCGTGACTGCAGCAGCTGCTAGAGAGCATCCCCTACCCAGGCAGGTGCAGGGCAAGGCCCGCTGCGCTGCTCCCGGGTTCACCTCCACCTCCTCCAGGCACACAAGCCCTCCCACACATTCCTGCATGTCGGGAGACCCTCGAAAACCCCTCGCAGAGCCACAGAGCGGGACATCAGTCCTCTCTTGCGTCTGCCCGGTGCGATACTGCAGCGTGGCCGAGGAGCCCCAGGCACATCCATGCACCCTCGAGACTCCACATCTCACCCTCRATCCTTGCTGGCCTCACAGCGACAGCCCTTGGGTTGTAACGGGTCTAACCTTGTGTGGCTGCTAAGCACAAGCTTGGGGCAAAAACAGTGTTTTCCACCACACGAGTGGAATAACATCTGCCCAGAAACAATCTGAAATGGTCGCTTTACATTCAGCTTGGAACAGCAAAACTATTTGAGTACAAGCAGATGTTTGGGAGATGACTGGAGAACTATTTTTCCACGGAAGCCAAGTGACATATTGTACAGTAAGAAAAATTAAAGCAGAACATTGCAGCCTAGGATTTGGCCTATAAGGACTAAAGCTCTGAGACCATCCAAGAAAAAAGAGGAGCTACGTAGAAAGGGCAGCAGTGCATCCACAGCAGAGCAAAGCACCACCAACGTGAGCTAACGGCCAGAAGAAACCCAGGCAAAGGAGTCCGTTTGAAGGAGCAGCACAAGAACGAAGCCAGCAGCCATGTCCTCTCCATCAGTGACCAAGTCTTGCCACGGAGGACTAGGGATTCACCCACCAAGAACTATGGATTCACTCACCACGAGTCCAAAATCCTCATGCTCTTTTACTCCATTGCACTGCTGCAGAATCGCTCACGCACCATCAGGATTAAGCGGTGTGCAAGCTGCTCACACATGCCATGCCTTCTACCCACAGTGTCCCTTGGGAGAGGACGGGATCTCAAAGACATCCCTTAAAGGCCATAAATAGCTACATCGCCCAGAAGGAGAAACTCCTGTTATCTCGCCGCCTGTGATCCCAGTCCACAGAATGCAGAAGGGCCTCGACAACATTTTATACTATATATAACTAGCCTAATTTTCAAGCAGCTCTTCCCGAGGTGGCTGCTCTGCCTCCTCCCCATCCCTCCCGTTAACTGCAGCGTCAACTGCAGCCTGTCTTAGGCAGCTCCGCTTCAATTCACAGAGCTGCCAGTTTCCCCTGCACTCCAAGCAAACCTACCACAGTGAGAGGATTTAAAGGGCCATTTAGAGCATATTAAAGAGCCCCTCGTCACCCCTACTGCAGCCTTACTGCTCTGGAGTGAATCTCCCAAATAAACAATGTGTAAGCTGAGCTCCCAGGGCTCAAAGCACCTCTCTACCCTCCAATATCAGATGGGAGGAAAAACCCACTCTGCACCTGGGGAGGTTGAGGGCTACCTTTCCTTCTCCATGGCAGAGGATACCAAGACAGAGGAGCTAACAGCAAGCAGCTGGGGCTGGGCTGGGCAGCTTTTTTGCACCACACAGCTGTGTTGAACGGTTTACAGACGGCGTTACGTTGGAGCCGCCTGCCCCAAGGAGGGCTGCAGTAATTACTTCCCCKGAGCTGATATGGGAAGCTGTTGTGGAAGGCAGAACATCTTGTCCTCAGGTTATTTTGCTCCAGCAGCTCCTGGAAGGGTTTGATTGATAGAAAGTTACGAACTTCCCCTCCCCAGGCATTGCAGCTGCTGCCTTTCCAYGGAGGAAACCAAGTCCTGAGCTCATCCCTGGACCCATCAAGCCTTTATCTCCTACTGATGTTGATGCAGRAACGCTAGCAGACAGCACAGGGCTGAGCATCGCTGCTGGACACRGCGCAAAGAAGAGACAACCTCGCATCTCTGACTTGGAGGTTGTCAGGCACTGTTCTAAAAAGAGACGAAAAATAACCAATCRAGCAGACCAGTTTCTGTAACACATCTTTTTCTCTTTATCCAGGAGATAAAGCACCCCAACTTCAGCTATGTGGTATAGTTCAAATTTTCTGCACTACCACCTTTCCAGCCAGCACCACAGTATCCTAAATTCATATCCCCACCACTGTACAGTTTTCCCAAGTTCGTCAGGACATTACATCTTTGCTGGGATATGGATGGAGCAGAGCAGCACTCAGCCCCATCCATGCTGCTCACTGGGGGCTAGTTAAGATCCGATGATGAATCATCAGCAGTTTTGCTCAAAAATTTCTTCCTGTGCAGATTTAGGGRAGCTTGGGTGGGCTTTGGCATGGACTGCATCTGGGTAGGACGAGTGAGCATGACCCAGCCCAGCSTGCAAAAGCAGTGGTAGGATCCACCCGCCCTCCTGTAGGAGACTAAAGTGAAATGGCTCCATCGGAGCCCACTCTGTGGTACACGAGCCATTGCAGCCTGACCCTTCCACGAGAGAGCTGCTCGTTAGACAGCCCACAAACGAGCCCACACATTATCATGTGGGAGTTTGGACAGGCAGTTTGTCACCAGGACAGGGTCTGGAGATGTTCTAGGTGCTAGCAAAGACTGGGCTTCCTCCTCCTCTTTTCTGAACTGAAGAGTGAAAAGGCTGCAGGCTTGATGGGAGTAAATGAGGCACAGTGAGATTTAATTATCTGCAAGAATTCGATGCACTGCCCACTCCTATTCTGCAGCAGTCTCTGCAAGAGGACTTTCTCCAGAGGAACCCCTGCCAGCAAAGCCTCTCTTCTAAATATCTGTAGCAGCCGGTGGGGAAATCTAGCCTGTAAGTTGTCCCTGTGGTGCCTCCTTCACTAAAAGGCTGCTCTTTGCATGGAAGATCAAGTTACCTGAGGTCACCAGGTTGAGACCAACACTCTCTCTATGGGGCTCTGGACCATCTGCCCAAGGAGACCACAGTCATCTGTGGACCCTACAGGAAAGCAGCTTGGCTGACACCATTAAGTGCGTTAGTAAGTCTGTGCTGTGAGAAGGAGCCCCAAAACACGGAGCTGCAATACACCTTCCCCCATGAAGCTGAATGAGAGAGTGTTCATCTTCCCCAAATTAAGATACTACACGCTCTGACTGTGTAAATTCAGACCATGGTACAGGGGACATGAAAAAAGCAGCACTACTGAGAGCTTCAGGATCCAATCAGCTCCTGATTTCACTAGGACAGGGACGAGGATCCTAGCTAAGCCAAAGGAGACCAGACCAAACTGCAGCACAGTCCTCTTGGTGACAACACCTACTCACACTCCCCGCTCAGCCCCAGACACCCAGAGCTCAGCCTCTGTRGCCTGGAAATCCGCAGCGGGGAGCGAAGGATTCAAAGAGCCTTGCTCCCATCGGGAGCCCTGCTCCTCCTCGCTGTGCTGCCTCTGCCTGGCGACACCACTTGCATTGGGCTGCGAGTGGAACAGCCTTGATTTGCCAGCCCAGGGGCACAGGACAGGCGCAGGAGTACCCATGTGCTGGGCACAAATGGGGATCCTGTGGTGGCCGCAGTCCCAAGGGACTCCGCTCCGTGAGGGGGGATGTTAGAGGAAGGAACAAGATGTCCAGGTCAGTCCCTGAATGGTCATTCCCCAGGTGCACCAGTCATCTCCTTGATGGGCAGTCCTTGAGCTGCACTTGCCCTCATGGCTGTATGTGTTGTGTATGTACAAAGGTTTGTATGGGGACCTCAGCACTCCCAACAACTGCTGCCCTAACCTCTGTGGCCTGCCAGCTCCAAAACCAGCCACGGCCACAGAAACACAGTCACAGTACTGCAACCATCAGCCCACGGAGGGACATGGTGACATGCTCTCTGTCCTGCCAGGGTCTTCTGGGATACTACACCACCCAACTCCTCCTATGTAAACTAATATAAGGAGCAGCTCTCCAGCAGAAGCCACCAGCCAAGAAGGATTTCTCCTTAGTTTTGTTTCAGACCTCAGGCTCAATCCTCCTGCATCCTCAAGGTTTGGTTCTTCTGCACACCCTCCCCTTGCACAAATGCCACCTGAATCTTGACAGAAATAAAAGACTGTCCTCCCACACCCTACACGTGCCCACGTGCTGCTCCCCGTCCTGTGCGTGACTCTACAGGCCGGCAGACACCACGAACCCAGCCTACCCACCGCAAAGCAGTTGGGCCAAAAAAGCCTCTGATCTTTAAGCGCTTTTCAGGGTSCACAGTCCCTGACCTGAGGAGCCAAAACACAGATCCTGTGTGTGGAGAAGAGCCACGCCTGAACTGAGACCTTAGTTCAAGGCCCACATCATGACCCTGCCTTTTTCATCAGGCCCCAGTTGGCATCAGGCCCACGGGTCTGCTGCAACACACTCACTTACAGGCATGGGGATCTTGGACAGTTCTTTGCCAATGCAGTTCTTCATGATGCTCCAGAGGTTAAGGCTGTAGTTAGGTTTGTCAGGGATGCGGGTCCTCCTCCTTTTCTTCGGCAGGAGATCTTTGCAAGTTGATTCATTGTAGCTGGTTTGGTTGGAGCTCTCAAACACCTGCAAAGCATCCAAAGAAAGGCCGGTTTAAGGCAGACTCTCCCAGCAGACCCAACGCGAAACTGCCACCTCCTGGGCCTCCGGCTTTGGGTCACTGCTCCCTCACCACTCAGGGCACACTGGTTTTGCTCAGGCAAGTGCACTGCGTCAAAAGAGTAACAAGGAACTGCATGGAGAGCCCCACAACCAGCCTGCTCTGCTGCTCACGCCCCTCATGGCATCGCACGAGGTCCCTCCTTCCCTCCATCCCCACGTGACAAACTCACGCTGTCCTCCAGGTTCCAGTCCTCAGGGTGGCCCTCGCTGGCCCCGCTCAGGTTACTGCCAGAACGCCTGCAGGGACGAAAGCGCCGCGGGATGAACGTGGGGACGGCGGGTGAGAGCGGCGCCCAGCAGCACTGCCGCCCAGCACCTCTCCCCACCGCGGCGMGGGGTGACAGGGGCAGCGCCATGGGGCCGCTCGGCACGCGGGGAGCCCCAGGGGCGGCCCTGGGGCTCGGGGCGGATCGTACCTGTGGTGCTTGGGGTCTGCGGTTACAGTGATGAAAGCTGGCGCGTCCTCCATGGCGTCGAAATACTCCGTCTCCTCATCTTCGTCACTGGCTTCCCCTTTGGCGGACTGCACGCTCCCTGCGGGCACCAAGGGGCTCAGCCCGTGGGGCGCCCACCCTCCGCCCCACACACGTCCCCCCAGGCGCCGCCTCCTGCCTCTCCCCTCCGTCCCGCCGTGAGGCCGCGGGGCCAACTGCAAATCCCAAAAGGAAGAAGGCACCAGGCAGCCGGAGTCCTGTGCTAAGCCAGGAATCTGCCCAATCTAATCTGCCGTGCTCGGGAGCACCTCCAAAGCACCCTCAACCTGACACAAGGGTATGGTGAGCCCGTCCCATCACATCTGAAACATCTCCCACCCCAGCAGCAGCACGTCTGCCGGGAAATGGCATTCACCATCCCTCTTGGTGCTCCTTCACCTCTCTGCAGAACCTGCTGGGACTCAAGTGCTGCCCCTCAATTGTCACCACCATCCCAGGACACAGGAACGCCAAATCCTAGCATTTTGGAGGCACAGGGTACATGCTCCTGCCCTGCCTGCTGTGCCACTGCCCTGGTACTCCTCGAGCAGAGCTCCATCTCCAGTATCTGCTTGGCTGCTCTCCCTCAAAACCACAATTCAATCTCTCCCACACAGCCACGCAGCCAGGACCATGCAAGGTCAGTGGGAAGGGCTGGTAGGACCCAAGGTAACTCCGTCTCCGAGCGAGTGGCAGCCACAGCACTGCATGGCCATGCCCACTGCTGCTCTGGTCTGCAGCTGCTTGCCCTGCTTGGCTCCCCTCTACCTGTCACCTCCACTCGAGCTCAAGTTACAAGGTGACATCTGAAGATGGACAATATCCTTCTCCATCAGGAAGCTCGGGGACGTGGGCCCTGCTTGGGGTTGCTGCTCCAGCAAGGACAGATGACAACGACGCAGCCAGGCCGGGCTTGGACATCCAGGTGAGAGGAGAAGCGGGCCGCCCTGGCCTGCAGGCTCCGGACACCTCACAGCAGCATCCCGAGCTGCTGAGCTGCGCTCGTCTTCCCATCGCAGAAAGGCCTCCTTCCTGGCATCATTGTCACATTCTTCTTGYACGGGGGTGAGCCGCCACAAGAGCAAGGTCACCTCCCACAGCGGGGTCTATGGCCACTCACACTGTATTTGTGCCTCTGTCTAAGCTGATTTAGCCTCTGCCCAGCCCAGCTGCCGCGTGTGGCACACTGGGAGGCGTCAGGACGAGGGTGACACGGGGCAACCATCCCCTCCAACAACAGCTACTTCCCCCCTTAGTCCACGTTCTTTGTAAATACGGCAGGGTTCTGTTTGCAGGTTTAATTTCCCAGACTATGCCTGCTGCCTTCTGCACGGAAGAGAGGATTCAGCACTAATTTCAGAAGCCATTAGGATTTATAGACTGCTATGTCCCGTGACCAGCATAATGGACCCGTTGGTTGTCTCTGAGCAATAAACTTGCCATCCAGCAGCCAGAGATGCTCCTACAGGTCAGGGTGACAGCCACTCAGCTAGTCGGATGCACAGGTGGGCAACCAGGACTGGGGACACGTCCCTCTCCTGCACCCACGTCCAAAAGCCTGGGGAATCACGAGTCCCCATGCAAGAGCAGCAGCACAATCCAAGATGTTCCAGGGCTCCCACAGGAGCACACCAAGGGCGAGCTGTGTCAGCACCTCTCCCAAGGACACCGCTGCCTTTCAACTGGGTTTTGCATAAGAAAAACATTCACGAGCATACAGGGCTTGTGCATCCTTCTCACCCCACCGGCAGCAACGGAAAATCCACTTTTCCCCGCCAACCCTCTGGCTTCCCCCAAGGTTCTGCCCTGTGGCTGTGCCCATCGCAGGGCGCAGGACACTCGCCCCCAGCACCCATCACTCCTGTGCTGTCCCYGTCCCGGTGCCACTCACCCTTGGCAGTGTTGGCGATGCCCGCGCCGCCCGAGGACAGCCCGGGCGCTCCTCGGCAGGCTCGCTCCAAGCTGTTGTGCTGCTTGGCTAGCTGCTCGATGGTCTCCTCCAGGCGGATCCGCTGCTCTCGCTCATACTGGAGTGCCCGCTGCCATTTCCGACTGTGAGTTTCGGCTAAGTCCAGGAAATCACGGCAAGCCTGGAGAAGAGGCAGGAACCCGAAAACTCATCACACAGCCAGGACACATCTTAACTCCCAGTSTGGCTCCCTGCTCTTATGCTGGTCTCAGTGTTTCAAGAAGAGCAGCCTCCATTCGCATCTCCCTCCTCATTGGCACCTCGGCGAGTGGCTCCCATCCCAGCAAGCCCAGACTGGGTTTTCACAAACTTCTGCCAACCTTTATCCAAGATGAGCCACCTGGGAACCCCAACAGAAGCCGCAGGAGATGCAAACAGGACAATGGGTCCCCAGGTGACACAGGGACATCATCATGGAAGCTCAGCCAGTGAACTGGAAAGCCCTTTGCTCCAAGGAAACAGAGCAGGAGGGCTGCCAGGTGCTCCCTGGAGCTGCCTGCATGGGCCAGGAGATGGCAAAGGGTCTCTGCATCGGCTCTGTGAAGCCCCAAAGCCCTAGGCTTCCTGCAATGTGCCCTTTTCAGGCAAATGGGACCAGCCAGGTGGGGACACACACACACACACACGCTCTGCACAGCAAGAAGTAGAGAGCTCAGGTGCTCATGGAGATCTCGTGGCACMCACAGGTCCCTGCCCAGTGCCACCAGGACTGGACAGCAGAGATGATAACACTGAGGATGCACAGAACTCCTTTGGCAGCTCAGTTCTTTACTGCATTGACCTGACGCTGATTTGTGCAGCATCCATCTATCCTTTGATGAGATACAGGTGTGAAAAAGACCTGGCATCAGCCCCAGCCCAGAGGGACCAGAAATCATCTCTTTGCAGGCCAGCCTAGAGGGGCCTGGGAGACTCAGAACTGCTTTCTGCCTTGTCTCCTGCAGGAAAGAGGCCCTGCTTAAGGTCAAACCCCTGCTTCTCCGCTGACAGTCCCCAGAGTACGGCCAGGAGAGGGTGGAGGACCTGGAGCACACGGCTGCATCACTGCACATCCTCCCCTGGACCCCCGCGCAGGACATCTGCTCGCTGCCAGCACCAAGAAGTTGTGTTTCTACTGCCTGGCAAGACGGAGAGACTTGGGAGCTCTATTTGTAGGTTATTTTTATGTCCAACTAAAATACCGAGTCTCCTTGGCTTCACAGCTCCCTTTGGGGTTGAGCCTGTGGGAAGCTAAACGTGTGCACGGATGCGGGACTGCACCTCYGCTTCTCTCCCCTAAGCCCGTGCAAGGCCTGCAGGGACACGCTTAACTCCTCTGGATGTTTAAAAGTGGAAAAACATGATTTTTTTACAAAAATTACAGGCATTTGGAAGCTGACTGGTATTCTGTAGGCAACACAACTGTGTTTTTGTACGGGAGCTAATGTTCGGCTTGCTCCATCACCGCTCCATGCAGAGAACGAAACACTTAAAATAAATGCTGGCCTACACGGCTGAAAACGATTCAAGTGACTAAAAACAGAGCAAACTGTGCCTAACAAACTTCTAGCCATGAGCAGGACGCTGCTATTTTCTGTGTTTCAGTCTACTTGGATTTCACGAGAGATCCATGCAGCTCTTGCACTTTACTCAAAACCTGGACTGGCTGGACTGGATCTCACCTGAGTATCTGCTTAGTGCTGCTCTCCCTGCAAGCACCAGGCCCGGGGCTTCTGCTTCCCTGAAGTATCCTGACATTACCAGGACCTGACAAAGAAAAGATCTCATTCATTAGCTTTTCATGAAGCCTTTCCATAGGACATGAGAAGAATATGAGTCTAATCCAGCTTAAGAAATTCTTCTTTAAAACACAGCAGGAAAGAGTCACCAGGAAAGCRATAAGGAGCTACAGGTTTTCATGTGTAAATGGTACCAAACTGAGGGAATTAATACCCTGACTARTTATATGCTTTCTATTCACCTCTGCTGTCTCCTGCTTCCCAGTATTCACATCAAGGGTTTGAGCAGACTCGTGCAGTCACCCAGCTGCGCTCCCTGGACCACTCTCTGCAGAACTAAGTCCCAGGATCAGCCCAAGCACCACACTGGCCAGGGGAACATTACATTTACAGGCTGCACGTTCTTGCAAACCTGCTCCTCTCACAAGTGTGGACTGGTCTATTTGAGCGTCCCCAGGGTGAGTGACAGTATACATCATTATTCTGCATCATTAAGGCTCTCTAACGAGATGCGATCGCACGCAGTTTTGCCAGGCAGAAATAACGCAGCTGAAAAGCATTTGCAAGCTCTGGGCAAGGGCTTGTCCTGGGGCCTTCGCTTCTCGGCCTCTGCATTTTCATTTGCACCATTAGGGATGCTAGGTAGTGGTTCAGAAATGCTGCCAAGGCTATAGGAAGACAGGGACCTACCCATTTTGATATATACGCCCCTGCTAGCACCATGCAGAAATGCTGGCAAGGCTGTATAAGGAGAGAGGTTGGGAATCACAGCCAGGGCTGAGGGGGAAGTCAGTGGATCAGCTCTGCCGCTCGTGAAGGACGGAGCACCCCAACGTCCAGCTCCTTCTCAATGCCAAGGGCCACGCTTGGCTCTGAACCGGGATGCACCAACCCTCACCACGCCGCTTTSCACTGGAGGTAGGCAGGGAGGTGCAGGGCACCACGCCAGGTCTGTGGCTCCTGTCCTCAATYCCACAGCCCTACTCCCATCCTCACCCTCTGGAGCTCCTCCAGCCCCTCAACCCCCTGGGCACCATCCAGGTCCTCCTTTCCAGGGCACTTCACCGAGCACCGCATTTTCACCCCAGATCCTCCCTGCACCCAGAAGAGCCCCATTTGCTCCCATTTGCTTGCTCGCCAGCTCCAGGACCCTCTCCCCAGCCTCCAGGCGAAGCCTCTAGCCAAGAAGCCTTTCTCCAGCCTTGCTCCGAAGACCTCCACCTCGAGCTGCACACCGAGCTGGCTTCTCCTGTTACGCYGATGTATTGTGTTAAGAGGATGGCACCGCACGGGCAAGTAATCAGATAGGAGCCTTGACCTTCGCGGCGAGGGCAAGCTCATTATCTGCTCTGGAGGGCCTGTCTCACCCTGCTTGCACCCAAACGCCCATTTCAGTGGAACATAATGTGGAGAACACCAGCTGTCCCCAGCTCAGCAGCTCGAAGGCTTTCAAACGAGGACATCACCTGCAATTACCCTGCTGCAATTAAAGGTAGTTTTTAAGAGTGTTACGCGAAAGAGAACGTTTCTGGTACAAGGGTAAATGACAGAAGTGAAGTGCTTACAGATGAGCTAGGCAAAAGCAGACTTYCCAAGCCCTGTATGAGGGAGCTGGAAGTTCAAAGGAAGCAGAGRAGAAATCCCGGGATCAGTCAATATCCTAAATAAGGATTGAAACGGGTAAAACTTTGATCGTCCCTTCTTGAGGCTCCACGGAGTTTCTCTGAGGATTTCAACCACATCCATGTTGGAAAGTCCACGCCATTGAGAAGCAGCCATCAGCGCTGCACACTCTCTCCCTCACATCTCCAGGGAGATGGGTGGCTGCATCTGGAGGTTTCAGGAAGGTCCTGGACAACCCTCATGCTGTCAAATCTGCCACCACAGCTTTCCAGGATGCATGAGACGCCACACAAGAGGCCGTGGCACCTCCCCGTGGCCTCAGCAGCTCTCYGAGCACCAGGTCAGGACCACGCTGCTTGCCGCATCCCACAGCTTGTGTCCACATGGATTTATGGGATGAGAAGGCCCGGGGAGATCTGGGGAAGGGGGAGATGCCTGGGGCTGCACRGGCTTCTCCAGGGCTCTCCTGGTGGGGCCACGAGGCCGGAGCTGTGAATGAGGCCATGCCCAGGACCATCCTGAGAGCCGCCCAAACTGCCACGGCCGGTATCTAGCAAAGCACATGGATGCTTCAACCCTGCCAAGGGCAGCTGCCTATGAGGCTCCAGGCTTGGAGGCCGCACGTCCTACGAGCTGAGCCCAATGCGTCCAAACAGCAGCTTCGTTCATGGTCAAGGTCTTCTCCTGGTTGTTGTCCCCAGCCCACCGCATCCCAGAGGTCCTTACGAGCCTAAGGCAGTGCCACAGGTGGATCCTCCCTTGGGTGGACACCTTCCCCAWCCAACCACTACACCTGTGTACAACTAACACCCTGATGCCCTGGCGTCTGGCCTGCTTGAGGCTTTAAGAAAATGCCCACCGTCCACTCCAGGGGTGGGGGTTACTTCTGGGTGTGGGGGTAATTGAGCTTATTAGAGCAAYGTGGGACTTCAGGAACCACGCAGAGATGGAGGACGGAGGATGGAGGGCTCTCTCCTCCTGCTCAGGAGACAGCAACCRCTACCCTCTGCTATTGCAAAAATTGGTGTTTTGATGTATTTCTGTCTCTTAGGTGGTTTGGTTCAAACACAGAATTCACAGACAGCATCAGCGCCCTGGSAGAAGGAAAGGATGGCTGCTGGCAAGTGTCCCGCGCGAGCTGCCGCGTGGGGTGTCCCCGCGCCGGGAAAAGCACGAGCCTACGAGATCTCTGTTCCAGGAGATCTGCGACGGCAGCCCTGCCCCGGCAGTGCTCCTTGATGGAAACTGGAGGCTGCAGCTTTGCAAAYGGCCCCTTTCCAGCTCCACCATGCAGGGGAACAGGATTGGAAATTCTCACGGCTGTTTGTCTGCAGATAAGTGACGCCATGCAAATGCTGGGAACGTCAGAGGCAATAACAGAACAACATCCTGAGACAGAGTTCTCCAAACGAGACGCCTAGTTGCGAGCATCAGCCTAATGGCCAAGCAAACGGGCATTACTAATCTGTTTTTATAGCAAATGGTGCAGGGTGCGAAAGGCGACTGCAGCTATGGATGCTCATCAACGCAGAGAGACCTGATGGAACTGCTGAAGCCCCAGCACAACTCGTCCTTCACTCCAGTTTCACTGGATGAGCATGGAACAGGAGGAAGGCCTGGTGGGGGGGGCCCTCCTCCTCCTCAYAGCTCTGTGTGTGCCCAGACAGGTGCCTGATCCCGCTCTCACAAGCACCTTCTACACCCACATCACTCAACTGACCTCAACGGTGCTAGCCCTGGTCTACGGAGGTGCCAGCGGGAGTCACACTGCTTCCCGGGC